ATTTAGTACTAGTGACATTAACATGATGTAATCCATAAACCTTTTGATGACTATGGTAGTTATTTTTTATTCCTGCCAAAAATTTTATCAAATTTTCTGTAAATTTCAACTTAATTCTGAATCATACTGACATTGGCTTTTAGGTTTTGATTGAAAGGTTTTTCGATTTCTATCAAGATTTCAGAAGCAGACTATACAGAAATATTTTGAGGATAGTGGCCAAAGTTGACATTGACGTTCAAAATGGTTCAATTGTTCTAATTAATTAAACGCCAAAATAAACCTTTGTTATTTTTCATAAATAGAAACTTTTTTTAAACAAAATTATGAGCAATTTTACCTAAAATAAATAAATGAATTAACTTATTGGTGTGATAAATATTTGCTGCTCAACAATTTCAAGATTTTTCTTTAACATTGAAATTTATGAAAATTGGAAGATCATGAATTGTTTCAATATTTGTTTGCGTTATGTTGTACTTTTGCAGTGTGATACAATGGGTCCAGATTACGGTAAACCACAACAAACTGTGAGGAAGTTAGAAGATGCTAGAAAGTATCAATTGATGGATGACGCTGTACAACCTACACAAGCTGTACCATTATATTATGAACAAAAACATGATGAAAGGTATGATGTAATGAAAATACTACCTCCAGCAATCAAACCTACCAGTACTTATTCATGTACCCATATTTGTTAATTCTATTTGAAATATTATGTGAATCATTGTATTTTTGTAGGTTTACTGATATAGTTGTGGATATTGTGAGAGGAAAACATCAAACATTTCATGTCATGTTTATTGGTACAGGTATGTAGATTGTAATTATGTTTTCAGAGTTAGAAGTTTGAAAGTATGTACCCAGTAGATGGTGAAAAGTGTGTGGGAACTTTAGGGTGGAGTGGTTAGTTTGGATTCCAATTGACAGATTAGTTATAGTGAAAATGACAGTTTGCTGATGGGGTGTGTTGTGGTAATCAGGTAGGGCTAATGATGCATAAGATTTGATAGGTGGGAAGGGTGTGGTATTTGGCCAGTGGGATGGCAGGTGCTTGTAGAATCACATAGTTGTGGAGGTAATCCAGAACAGTGTGTGGTAATGCCAGTTGGTCACTGAGAGGGTGTTTACTGGTAGTAGTTTGCCAGTGGGATGGTGTGTGCTGGTGACAGTTGGCCAGTTGGATCCGGTGCCATCTTTGTACAATAAATTGATGCTGTATTTTCACAATTATGTTTTGATTTTATGGCACATTAAAAATTACTACCGGTATTTCTGGTTGCGTCATTTGGAATTTAATAGTCTCTGGTCAGTCCTTATGTAATGTCCACTTTTCCAATATCTTTTAATACATAGAATCTGGTATCATAAAGAAAGTGAGCAAACCAATTGGTAAAACAGACTCCTGTGTGGTAGAAGAAATCCATCCATTTGATGTAAGTTTACATTGATTCTCCTCATTCATATGACTTCAATCGAGAGGTTCAAATAATAGAATGTCATATAATATGTATTTCTCAATTCATTGATAGGATGGTGATTTACAACCAGTTAAAAATATCAAGTTACTCAGCTCTCAGGTAATACAACATTTTTATTTCAGTGCATAAAAAAAACATAAATTTGAATAAAGCTTTCTTATACTTTCTTTTAAATTAGTAATTTGATTTTAATAATATGATAAATCTTCAGATGCTGTTGTCAAGTGCTGAAGCATGCCCTTAAGTTTTCTCATATGATATGATATTGTTCTATAGACTGTTGCACTTGTTCATGTTTTGCACACATGTACATGTACAGTGACTAGTTGGCAAGAACCGGTCGCTCACACACAAATGTATAATAACAGCATTGTTTAATTGCTGCTGTTGTATTAAATATACATGTGTCTCTGTTAAAACCACAGGAAATTTTGTCACAGTAAATCTAGGAACTAGTTCTGATCAGTAAGCAACATTGTTACCAAACATTTGCATGCTGTTGGCAAAAATGTAAACAAATTATGTAACAGTGCTAGATGTATATAATTATGTATGGTGATGTTTTTTGCACAGAATATTTACCTTATTAGAAATTACCGATACTAATTTAATATATGGAACGATTGTGCAATATTTCTCAGAATCATGTATATTTCAACACAGATACATAACAAGAAAGTTCCTTGCCCAGTTCTCTGGGTTACAAGTGGTTTGATCAGTAAACTGTATATTAAACATACTTCAGTTTATACATTATCCTTGAAGTGACTTCATAAAATCATTTATGAGTATCTTTGATATGCCTTAGGTCACATAGATTGTTTTTTTATAGGGTGCCCTCTATGTTGGTTCTGAAAGTGGAATAATGAAAATTTCAGTACATCGCTGTCACACGTACAGTTCCAAAAGGTCAGTTGATAGAGAGAGAAAAAGTATAATTTACACTTTTCTGTAGAGTACAATTTGAATATATTCCTGTTAAGGAACTTATAAATGTACAATATCTGTTACTAAAACAGAAAATTATTATACTCTAGTTAATGTCTTTGACCAAAATAATTAAATTGGTGATTTTAGGAGATGTCTGGATGCTATGGATCCTTATTGTGGCTGGGATTCTAAATTGGGTTCATTGGGACAATGTGTTACTTACAATGAAAGGTAAGAAAATCCTGAATATTTTTGACGTTTTGTCAAAATTGATGTTCATAAACTAACATAGTGACATCAATGGGTAATAATGTGTGAATTAAAAACAAATTCACTCAACAAATATTGAGCACTGTCAAATGGAAACACAGTGCTGGATGTATATGAATAAGGGAAAGTTATGTAACCATGACAAAACATGAATACTAAATGCTAAAATTTATTATATCATTAAAAGAGTACTCTTCTGAACAATAAATTACCATATTCTGAATTTTGGGACCTTGTTTTGTTGTTTTTCACTGACAGCAGTGTTATTAATTAATAGACATGTTAATGTGAGGTTATGACGAGGATACCACAAAGTATGCATGAAGACAGTGCAGAGAGTATCGACTGATGTGCAGTGTCGGACGATGCAACCATATACTGTGTTTGTGCAAACTTTGGGTTTCCTTGTAATAACCTTATTATACATCTTTTCCTGTCAAGAATACATCACGGAAATGCTGAAATCCAACAAGTATAAAACAGATTTAGCGAATTTCTTTGTGTGGGATCGGTCAAGCCCTGTGGGCTGCCATGTTTGCTTACGTGTGTAATTGTTCCATATTTGAAATTTGCATTTCCTAATATGGTAGGATGCAAATACCCAGTGCAATACCGCAACTTACGGTGACA